CAAAACAAAACTGTAACGTTATTGTCACGTTAGCATAACGTATTATTGTTTGCTGGGAAGGTCGTTAGTACTCTCGTAGTAGCTCACCTCTCCATAAGTTGAAACAGGAAGCTTTTCAAAGTCTTGGATGTGTTTAAATAAAGTTTAAAACAATTGACGCCTAGATATAGGCCTGCTTGTAGATATCATCTTCATTATGATATATGATATTTGGATTATTAGACTGCTCAAAATTTAATAAAGTATTCTAAACAGCAACAAAATATTAGAAGATTTGCTACTGTTAAATCACGAGCAGTTTGTCCATTTTTGTAGTGATTTTCCCACGCTTTGCATGAACTGGTTGAATAGACGCGCGTACATCCCTCTGATTTGCGGTTTGCTCTAATTAAATTATGTCTCAAATGTTCGAAAACAAGACTGATAAAAGTGCGTCTAGCTCGCAAAGTTGCAAAAAGTAGCAGCTAAATTTGGTACCATCATAAAGCTAAGGCTATACTGAAGATGGTGATGTAAAAATTAAAGCATGAATCCACGTGAATCTAAACTTTCTCTCCTACTTTTCTAAAAATAGATTTTTAAATATTTTTTCTGTCGTTTAAACAACGATTTATTATTGATGCAAACTTCAAATTTAAACCAAAACATATATTTGTGTTCCCCAATTCATATACAAGAAACCTGTGCATTTTGAAGTAATTCCGAATTTTCTGTAAGAAAAAAAACGTGTTTAGATATAATGTAGTCAATTATAGCATTTGAAATATTTATAGAGAAATTTCCGACATTTGTTGAAAAATACTACCCTTAAAATTCGTTTAAATGTAAAATATTTTCAGGATAGATTCACCAGGGTATACCCATCTTCAATCTTTTGAAAAAAAGTGTAAAAGCCATAGTCACCAAAATGGACTTTTGGCACACTTTGATTTCGCCCTGGCCCACTGTGCGCCGCACTGAAGCCTTCAAAAATGTTATAATCGCCGCGGCGCTTATTCGAGCATTTACAGTAGTTCAGGTATAGAAAATTATATATTATAGAAAAAATATAAGACACTACAAGAATAAGGCTATCAAATATATATTTACAAAAAAATGCGACCATCACTATTATTTTTGTTGTACATTTACTTGTCAGAATATCACTAGTATATTAAATTCATATAAAGTGCTAATAGACCCACTCTATCTGTCAATATTGCATTTAATCAATAATGTAATCACTATGTTAATCATACTTAGTTATAGCTATCATAATGTCTTTATACCTTGTTCATTCGGTAAATACACTTTCGCTAAATAAGGGATATTATTATAGGCATATAAATAAACATTGTCAATAGCAATGTTACTACCTTATAATAATATGAAAGTGGCGTTCCCTTTATTAGCTCAACCATGTTAGCCTACGTACACATTATACAGACACGAATGATGCTGGGTTTTAATGAAAGGTGATAAATTGTTGGACTCTTAATTATAAGAGTACTAGGCCTAGGCAGTGCATCCAGTTACAATAGTCTTGAACGAATTACACGATTTCTTTATTCATTTATTTATAGGACAAAATTCGTTGAGAGCTATGCTACACGATGGATATCATGTTCTTTATTCGAACATATATATCTTACCATCACCTCTGTTAAATACATATTTATTAGTAATATATTTACATTATAACACAATTTGTAACATTTACTTCTGAAGAATATAGCTTGCAAACCTTTGTTAGCAAATTTGTCCTTCGTCTATAATGCTTATCAGCGAAGATTCTAGCTACACACGAATAGTATTATATCTATTTTTCTGATAATGATGTTTCCTTTGTCTTTGCTTTTGAAGTTAATATAGATTCATTCTTTTTTATCATTTTCCTGACCGAATGGGTGAGGTTGAAGGCAATAAAAACGAAAAAGCCCTGTAGAGAATTCAAAATAATGAATATATACCACAGAACCACATGGCCCAAGAACGATGCAAGAAATCCAAAGAACCAAGAAAGTCCCATAACAGTCGAGATCTGAAAAAAATATTGAATTGTATTATATAAATAGCACTCGCCTTTAACATAAAAAAGCATGAATCTTGCAAAATATACAATACTATCCATGCAATTATGATGATAAATTCTATAAAAATTATATATGTTTTTACCCGGATGTAGATTATCATTTCTTCCATCAATTGTGTTTGCTTTGATTTTCCTTTTATGACACGTTCCGAAGCACTTTTCGATTCTCTAATTCCCGTAATAGTTGCCACAAAGAGTATAAGATTCGGCAGAAGGATTACAGCTAATGGAATGCCAAATACGTAGAATGATGCAACTTCGTCTCGGATCCAACACACCGTTTCATCACCGTACACTACGTTTAAACCTGTGCATTCACAAGAACTAATGGCAACAATTACTCCAACAAAGACCGCAGGAATTCCCCAACTGTAAAGAAAATACTGGTTAAAGGTTTTATGCTGAGCTCTTACACTCCTCGAAGTAACTCTAAAGAAACGGAATGTAAGAAAAAGCTCAAATGCTATCGAATTCATCCACAAGAAACAAACAAGCCACAGATAATGCAATATGGCTGCAACTGCTCTACAACCATTCAGCCACTGAATAAAGTTACTCTGGATTAAAGTTAGTAACAATGAACAAAACAATGCAATGGAAACGTTCATAATAATCTTTCCAGGCAGTGTCCTCATCTCGCTGATGATGACACGAAGAAAGATAGTAATTAGTAGACCAATCAGTGACAAAATGGTTCCAACGACACTGATAATTAGTAGAGTACCAGAATATTTGAAAAAAATAATTTCTTCCGTCTTTGATCCAGTTTGGTTCAGAAACGTACACATAAAAATAGTAGTGTTTGAGGAATTTGAGTAATAATACTCATGCTCATCAAAGACATGTCCAGTTGAATTGTACACTAGAGATCCGTTACCTTTATCAATAAATGCGGATTTAGTCAGATTAACCTGTAGACAGGTCTCACAATTCGATATTGACAGGCTGCTACAGATTGAAGTCTCATTTACAATCTGATGGACGATCTTTAAAAGATATTCTTCATTAGGAACGTGTATTGAGGAATTACCGTTGCTGATCAATCGTGTAGTATTGTCAACGTTTAAACTCTCTGTTAGTGATAGACCGTCATCCACACACTGTAGCGCAGTTGGTATTTCTTTCAAGAAACAGTTTTGTTGAACAGTTATATACATTATGCTTGTATAATTGTTGTTTTTTAAAGTTCCAGTAATTAAATTTGAAATTTTAAGAACCATCTGACAGTTAATTTCAGTTATGTGAAATTCAGTTATTCCTGTCACTTGATATTTAGTTTTTGAATATTGGACACCAAGTTTGTCGAGGTATTCTGCCAAAAACATGATAAAAGGTTCATCATTAGCATTGTCGTCACCATTAGCACTCTTGGTATCGTTATCGTTGGATTGATATTTAATAACAAATGTATGATCTCGTAAAGTGCATAAGCAGAATGTTTCATCTGGTATCTGGATCACACCATCTCCGCAGTCGGATACTGTCAAAGGTGCAACGCACCTGGAACCATGAAGTGTGAATCCTGCGTTACATGTTAATTGAAGACACTGGTTGGTAAAGGGATCAAATACTTCACCTGTAGCACACTTGACTGCTGTAGTAACGTAACTGCCGAACTTGGAACTAACAATCATGCTGTTTTGGGCGGAGAAATCCATGATTATGGTTAATGGCGTTAGATCTGATATAGTAGGGTCTATGTCATCAGGAAGATAACATAAATAGAATGGATAAAAGTTACAGATTGCACAATGTGGATTCCTGTACACGTTTACGTTATCTATACAAACAACGGCATTGTATCCCGTGTTACAAGCGTTTATCACTGATTGGTCGGTGTAGAATTCGTTACAACCATGTGTTACTCTAGAACGACAATGCCGTCTTGAATCGGTCTTACCCGAAGGAGGGGTTGAATTGAAATTTGGACAAGATACAGAAACATCTATCTGATGTACTTCAAATGGTATCTCAGTTGGTTTTGCCGATGGCTCTATCGAACCCGTCTGTATGGCGTTCCAAATATCACAATTAAATGTTGTTTCCCAAGCTGTAACTTCATTTATAGGCACGTCGTTGCAAATGGCACAAAATATATTTCTGTAGATAGCGTCTTTAGTATCAGACACAATGATACTAGATATGACGTCATTAATATCAGGGTTTTCACATTTTCCTTTAACTTCAAAATTCACTGAACTTTCGTTCTTGCATGTAGCAATGGCAAAATATCCATTTTCGTAGTTCGAGTCTCCGCGAACGCATTTAATTTGATTAGGGTCTGTTGTAGGTGGAGTGAAATTGAATAGGCCTAACCCACACGATGAATAGTCATAGCAACAGTCGTCATAGTATTCGCAAGCAGCGTCACACCCACATGTATATGAATCCAATGGCTCCATTCCACATCTTCCATGAGGTATACATAAATGGCTCTCACGACATATCCCCACATCGGTGCCGAATAGTGTTTCTATCATAGATGAAAAAAAAGAAAGAAAGAAAAGAAACATTAATGTTTAAATGGATGTTCAAATGGATCCTGTGATGAAAACGTAAATCTAAATGCATAATTCTGTAGCAGGACTTCAAGGCAACAGAATTATCATTTCACAATAATATTCATATTATTACATGGAAGAAGTTTGACATAATTATCAGTTGGCTCTGGCCTCAATCTTGAGGGAAGAGGTTCGATCCTTTACTGTACTTTCCGCTTGTAGTCCTTGGGCAAGGCACTTCACTTACGTTTGTTTTTCTTCATACAGCCCGTAGCGTGTGGGAGTGGGTAAGGGTTTACGACGAACCGCCCAAAAACTGGAGAAGGGCCGCATTTAAAAACAAAAATAGATATTCGTAGATATATTTACAATGTTCTCCAGAGTATCGGCAATATCAATTCAATTTTAAAAGTTTTTATTTCCAAAACATATATATAAATGATAATACAATTAAAAATATAATTTATATTTGGAAAAAGGCTACCACAAGAAGCGAAGCTTTGAAACGTGGCGCCTTACAAAATGAAGATATCATTTTTGATGATCATCTGTTATAATATTGTTTTGGATTGACTTATAATACAAATTCTGATTAGATGTGAAAGTTAATATATTTAAAAGGCGGTGAATAGACTAACGTAAAGGTTATAATTTAAACATAAAAAATATCCCGTAGGAAAATAATGTATAGAATTTCTAAAGAAACCATTCTATAAAATTTTTACAGCTTTTCTATAGGCTAATTCTATATAATTTTCTAAACCAGCTTTATAGAGTTTTAATAGATTTTCTACAAGGTCGCTAAAGATGTTTTGATGTAGTTTAAATAGAAATCCTGAAGAACTCCGATAGAGTTCTATAGACTGTTCTTAGAACCTCTAAAGAAATTTTGTAGAAAAAAAAAATTCTAAGAAAAATTTATAGAATTTACATAGAGTATTTGTATAGAAAAACAAAATTTTATAGAGTTTCTTTAGAAACATTTTTCTATAGAACTTCTATAGAACTTTTTTATATAGAATTTATATAGAATTTTCAATAATTATATCGACTTTTATAGAATTCACATACAATTCTATAGAAAAACTTATAGAAAATTACCATTATGAAAAAATCTATAGAAAGTTGATAGAATTTTCATAGAAAATACACAAGTTTCTATAAAATGTCTACATAATTTTAAATTTCTGTTAAAAATTCTATAGAATTATTTGTATTTCCATAGAGATTATTTTATAGAAAAATATAAACATTCTGAAGAATACATATATAAAGTTATAGAATGTTTATAGAAATAAAATCAGAATTCTATAGAGTTTCTATAGGTTGATTCTATGTAATTTTCTAAAAGCTGACCTATAGAGTTTCTGTAGAAAATCTACAGGAATTCAAATGATGTCTTAATAGAATTCTATTAAAACTCTATATGGTTCTTTAGAAAGTTGATAGAAACTCTAAAGAATATTTTTAGAACCTGAACAAATTAATCATCTACTGTATAGAGTTTCTTTAGAACTTTATTTTGGTTTCTATAGAAGTACAGAATTCCAACTTTCAAAAAACTTTCTTTTAATAAAATTTCTTTATATAAAATATCTAGATTAACTTGTTGCAATGCCACTTTTTCTCTTCTCTTGCTTATTCCAATTGTACTGCACAGCCAGTTATGAAGTATTTATTTGTAACAATCAGCTAAAACTTTATTGATATTACTTCATATCATCACTGAAAATGTTCTTGAAATCAGCTGCCATATCTTTCAACTTGATCAACATAGAAACTTTTACCGCTGCAGCACTTCTGAGAAGGTTAGATTAATAGATTATAGATTTGGGAAAATTTATTATAAAAATGTAATAAAATAAACATGCAAAACTACTTTATGGCTAGGAATAAGTCTTATGACTAGCCTAGGCCTAGGGCCTAGAGGTGAAGTATAGGCCTAGGCCTATTGTATAATAAAATAGAGACACTTACTAAAACATATCCCATATACCATAAGTTGACAAGTTGCGCTGAGACTGCCAGTGTGAGAACATCACTGACCGTGGAGCTATCATTTGACACGGGTTTGGCAGTTGGCTAGAAGCCCATCCAGTTGGCTAGGGTTTACCTATGACTAGGCCTTACCTAGGCTAGGGTAGGTACGTTACAAAGCGTGACGTCACACTTGATTGTTTTGGTTAGACGTTCGCGGCGACCTTGAACTTCCGGTTCACGGTGTTGGGTTTCAAAAAAATCGTGAAAATTACATTTCTGATTAAACATCGATTATGTCATGCATTGTTAGGCAGACAAAAGGTTAAAGAACAGTCACGCATTTGTTTTGTGTTCATTCATTGTTTATTTCCGCTGCAGTTGACGTCCGAAGTTACTACTCGAATAAAATCAACTTTTGCTGTCAAAAAGATACATGGTTTTTCTAATTATTATAACAGTAATTTAGAGAAATAAGTAAATAACATTTTTACCAAATATGAAAGAATTCTGACCACAACCAAGTGGTTTTTGTAAGCTGTAAAGTCTGCTATGATTTACGATGGCTTGGGTAAAATGGCGTCTAATGTCAAAATGATCGCGACGTCTGTATACTATAATGCTAGGTAGACCTAGGCCTAGAGTCTGGGCTAGACCGCGATGTATAATATTAATTTTTGTGGTCAGAAAGTTACATGGTAATTCTAATTATTATAACAGTAATTTACAAAGATAAGTAATTAACATTTTGGCCAAATATAAAAGAATTCTGACCACAGCCAAGTGGTTTTGTAAGCAGTAAAAATCTGCTATAATTTACGATCGCTTGTGTAAAATGGCGTCTAATGATCGCGACGTCATGTATACCATAATTCTAGGTAGGCCTAGACCGTGATAGAATTTCAGCCTCTAAAACGACAAATATCGTTAAATATGTTACTTGAATTGATAATTTATGTTTAGTAGATACATAGGAATTAGTTATATTTAGTTTATAACAAATATTTAATTGATTTTAGTGATGTTAGAAGATTGATAAGTTCAATAAAATTATTG